TAGCGTATAAAATAGCCAAAAACAGGATCCACACGAACTGTACTGAGCCAGCAACAAGCATAATTCCTGTTGTATAGTGTTATTAATGAAGTATCATTAGTGGCAGAAAGAAATATCGCATTTTTACAAAAACGCTTGTGGCGATAGCTTAGACAGAACCGTATTTATTTAATATATACAGCGCTAATGCGCATACTTCGAGCAGCCGATGGGTACTGGTTGGAGACATACAGCCCAGAAACGGAGGGCCTGGCTTACGTGAAAGCATTCTAGTATAATATCACTAGTAAAGGATACCTACATTGGTAGTCCGAGCGATCCTGGTATTCTTGGTATATAGAAGCTGAGTTATCTGTTAGGCTTTAGAAGAACAGTGAAGTATGATGAAAATGCTGCAGGCTGAAATCAGCGGCATACATGAAGAAATAATAATTTAGCTGAGATTTTATTTTTAGCAGTTGTCGTAGCCAGAGGCAAAGTATCGCGAAAAAGGAGGCAAATTGACTCATTGATCTAAAAAAGTTGTCAGCACCATTTGAAGTTTGCAAGGAATATTATTCTCTTTGCCCAAGAACGCACGGCAGGTTAACGTGAGGGTTACTAACGCCTCTTTCCGGGCTCAAGGCCAATAGTAGCTGAATAATTTCTTCACGATTTCTTGACTGTCTCAATAGAAAATTTGTACCGGAGTACCATGGTGACCAGCGGTGAAATCTCAACTAAAAATCGCTAGAGGCAAATCTCAAGAACAAGGAACCATCACAGCCTTGCCAAATAGTTGTTATGCGGCAAGGCACCATTAGACAAGCCATTTTCGAGCGTTTCTACCTCTCACAGAATTCAAACGAAGGGCCCACGCTAGCTCAACCACACCATGCCTTTTCTACTTTCTTCAAGAAAAGGGTAGGAAGTATGAAGAGATAAGGTAGCGAGCGAGAAAAATACTAAGCGATTTATGTAAAGTTTGAACCGGACAAGCAAATTTGCTTAGGTTGGTTTGACAAAATTTAAAGGAGCCTTGGAGAGACAAAAACACAGGCTTGTTAAGTGATAAGAGGACGAAGTGCATCTTAAAAAAAAGAAGAGCCTAAATTTTGCCAAATGGAAGTACACTGAGCTTTTGGCACGATGAACGATTGGAGAAATAATGAAAAGTGGTTCAGAGGGCTTACTGGACTCAATTGAGACGGGCTAGAGTGAACAGAATGAAGCATTTTCATTTTTGTTTTTTCTATGGGGGATTATCCTTATAATGTGAAAATCAAAAAAGTACGCCAAAAAAGCTGAGCACTCCCGAGTTGTCAAAATTTGATTCCTCATGATTAATAAATTCGTTTGTAGCATGGGTGCATCTAAGTAAATTGCAGCATCCAGGTTTACCCTGGAAGTACAGATAGCAAGGTGCGAAGGAATTCAGGAGGAGAAAAGTAGTGTAGGCGAGAAGGTAAGAGCGAGATAAGACGTTTCGGTCCATTAAGTCATATACGTCTTAACCATGCGAATGCACCTCGTCAGTATGACCGTTGCAGTGTGTAAAGAGGAGAAAGAAAGGAGGAAATGAAAGAAAAGGGAAATGGCATCTAAATTTTAACAGGAAGAGCAGACACATTTTAAATTCGGGCTCATCAGTCAAAGTAGACCGAAGTGAAAATTAAGTGAGATTTTTCTGACTTAAATTTTGCCGGTATTAGTGTTTTCCAAGATGAATTTTTACTCCCCCATTCAGTTTCCCGAGGAAAAAATTAAGAAAGGAAACGATGTAGTTATTGGCCACATCGTTAATGGATTAGTGGTGAAAGAGTTTTAAGTATCAAGAAAGTAAGCGAAACTTGTCGAAGTTTCGCTTACTTGATACTTAGTGAAATTTGTCGAAGTTTTTGTATTGCGAAGCTCCTAACGGAAAATTGGTAGTGTTAGGTAATAATGGAGTAAGAAGACTGGAATTAGGTGTCATGTATAACAAGACATTTCACGATGCAGTCTGTGTTTCATCTGACATTTCACGATGCAGTCTGTGTTTCATCTGACATTTCACGATGCAGTCTGTGTTTCATCCCTTAGCTGTATACACAGACCGAACAGTGCATGCGGGTAGGAATGGGAATCGTCAGTACAGTTCCTACCCGCCATTTATTGAAAGAAAGGTTTCAAGATAATATAGTACTCTGAAAAGACACTTCAATTACTATTAATTTCTTTGTGGTTAGCTAACTGCCCCCAACATTATCGAACACAGATACACTGTCTTTCTGATTGTTTCTGATGACTCAAAGTCAGGTTTCGACACTGTTTTCTATGATCCAAAGAAAAATCAGCTAAATTTGCATGTTTCGCCACAACTTCTCGAATATTTACCGAAAAGAAACACACACACAAAGAAAGAAAATTCGGGCAATCCATTGCATTGTCCAGCCACAACTAAGCCGTCATATGCAAGCCTCTTTTGAAGCTCGATAGCCTTCGTGTTGACGTCTCTCATTGTGAGTGATGGACAAGCGGCAGAATTTTTGAAAAGCAAATGCGTAACTGAAGCGGAGGGAAAGACACTCAATCAGTCACCGATTTGAAAAGCTTGAAAATGCGAAATGATTGTGGCCAGTGAGAAGAATGAGGCAAATCGAGGGAATCCATGAAACTGGCGCCCAAG